TGAATTGCTGGAAACCGAAAGAAAACGTTTGTTGGAAGCGTTGCCTTATCAGTTTGTTGTTTCAAACATTATATTATGTGTAATCAAGATGATCTGTGAAGAAAACGGTCAGACCAATGCTGCACTCGGAGATCTAGTTCCTCATGATTCCTTAAATGTCGGTTACTTATTAATTTGAAGTGCCTGCAATACACTTTATCTGCAACAGTGAAAGGAAAAATGCCGTTTTCTTATGTTCCAAAGCTTAATAATGTCACATTGTAGGAACTCTGGAAAACTCCAAGCAGTAGAAAAGTCATGGACCCACGAGAACTTCGAAAGTCAGCTCTTATTGCTATCAATGAATTTGCGACTGAAATCGACACTTGTATCGAAGATATATGTGCTCAGGTGAAAGTTTTCATTGAAGAACAGCCATAAGGAAATATTATATATGCTAAAATATTCCTGAATTTTGATTTTGAAGGCACAGCATTTATACGAATTTTGCTGAATGATGTTCGTTGTTTGTGTTAGTCACAGCCCTTATTAATTATTTTTTTTTTTCTATTGACAACAATTACTTGAACCATTAGAATTTTTGAAAAATGATTCATGTGCTCAGTATTGTCGAAATAACCTTAAACGCTGAGCAGTACTGTTTACAATTTTCGTAATAAATTCAGTTGCGAAGTTGCTATATCCTTTCACTATTCTTATAATGGTAAATGAAGAATGAAATACAGATTGCTTTTACAGGCAAGTGACCACATTTGTACATCTGATGTTATCATAACGCATTCACTGTCATTGTCATCTACACTTCGGGCTTTTTTCAAATCAGCTCGTAAAAGCCAAAAAGTTTTCGGTTGCTAGTAGTAGATGAAGAAATTGATTATGGTGATTGCTTATCATCAGTGGATGTTCTAACTGCCATGCAGCGTGCTACCCGAGTCTTTATCTCTGCTGCCGCTGTATTCCCGGATGGATCTTGTTTGGCACCGGCAGGTACTGTTTCATTTTTTATTGGATACTATATAAGCGTAATTTATTAATTTGTTTTAAGAAATTGGTCATGAAATTTTTTTTATTCTATAGAAGAAGGGATTGAAATTTAATACTGTTGTTTTTAAATACTACCTCTAGTTGTTACTGTCATGTTTTAGTACAGAAGTGTTTCAGGGTGTTTAATGATATGCTTAGCAGCTAAACGACATGCAGTACCAGTTTCAGTCTGTACTTCTTTCTACAAATTTACCCCGTTTTTTGTAGCGGATATTGATCGTATATACTCTTTCGGTTCTGCCACTAGTGTGATACCTTTCACAGAAATGGAAGAAATGGAAGATGCTCAGATTGTGAATCCTGTCTTCGATCTGATTTCTGCAGAGCTTATATTACAGTATATATCACATACGTCTACTTTCACTCCCTCTCACGTTTACCGTTTTATTGGGGATTATTACTGTCGTGATCGCATTGAAATGTCGTTGTAGATGCAATTTATATGACGAGAACTGTTTGTTACGCTATTATCAGCAAGTGCAATTTAAAGAAAATTATTTTGTCTATGGTGCGTTTAATGCATAATGATTGAAACTTTTATAGCAAGATTCTAGTTTCCATATTCCTAGAAGTACATAATTTTTATCGAATGCTGTTACATAAAAAGTTTTCCAAAAGGGTGTTTTGTATTCTGTGCACTTGTTGACAAGTTGTGTTGCACTCTATCTGTACAATTACCACAAGATTCTAGTACATTAAAGTTGTACCTGATTGGTTGGTGTTCAACACACTTCGTTTGAAATTGTCCCTTCACAGGTTTATTAGTTTATTTAAACTGATTTGTGAAAGATATTATATCAAAATAACGAGTTTCAGGAGATATACGGTTTTTACAGTTTGATTAATGTACTATGTGTAATGTATTTCCCTGCTCAATTTTTTTTCAATTGCATAATTATTTATTTGGTCAAGATCTCTTTCACCTTCAGTTCAAGAGATTCCTCATGTTCGTAGACAGTCAACATAGATTGATACGTCGGATGATTTTCTGATATTGCTGGAAACTTTCTGGTAGTGAAATCTCGTCCAGTTTGAGATTTGATGTATGAGATTTGAGATTAAGACAGGGATTTTCGGCTTACAGATTAATGGCAGAGCCAGGTGATGCGGTACGAGTGGACGATGTGGAAAATAGTAGCGATGATGAGGAAGAGGATGAGGAGGAAAGCAGTACTGGAAGTGATGAAAATTCAACTGAAGAAAGCAGCAGTGAAGTTGAAAGTGAAGAGGAAAGTAGCGATGGTGATGGGGATGATGACAGCAATGTTTGGGATTCTGTAGATGATGGAGCACAAACTGAAGAAGCAGTTGTGAGTTTTAATGATACCAGATATATTAAATAATATGCGATGGTGATGAATAAAGGGGAAATTAATTGTAGGAAGCTTCATTACAAGCGGATTACACAAAGGCTCTCAACCTTATCGTAGATGGTCGCAAACAGAAAGCGTTTGCAATGATGAAAAAACTTCTTCAGCATCCAATTCTTCAAAAGTTTGAAGTCTGTATTAACTTGCCATTTTTCTAATTTGTCTGTAAACGTAAAAGAGCTCTCACATTTTCATTTTTTAGATTTCCATAACTTTAATTGGTTTGTGACATGATTACTAAATGCTTTAATGAAAATTGTTTATTTTGTATTGCATGATCGTTTGAACAACCTTGATATTGTTGATATTATATGTAGATTCTGATTTTATTACTACCATTTCACTCATTATATTTGTTGTACAGGTCAATATCAATTTGTTCAACTGGAATGAAGCTAGAAAAGAAGCTTGTGCGAATCAATCTCGTGTATCTGCTATGGCTCACCTTTTCTCATCTTTACACTTCAATATCGGTCGACTTTTAGACGATCCAATAGATCACTTATTAAGCGCAAGTTTTAATGATCTTAAATAATCTTAAATAGTTGTTTTAATTTTCGTCATCAGTATTTATCAATACTTCTCTGATAAATGGAAATCAGTCAGTATTTGTAGACTTGATGTTTTGCTTTATATGCAGAACAATCCAGGTTATTGCTAAGGTTTTATCTTTCCATGTTGCAGGCGTTAACCGTATATCCAAATGATGAATATTTATGGAAGTATGTAGGAGAAGAATCCTTGAAAGTACGGGATTGGTCTATGGCACTGTACGCATTCAGAAACTGTTCGTCTGTCTGGAGTGTTATTCGCGGGATTCTTATCGCTTTGTATAACGCCAACCTGTTTGAAGGTATTTTAATCTTTTGTTAATTGTTGCCAAGATTCAAGAGTTATTTACTCATCCATCTGATGTGGTGCGATGCAATGCAGTTTGAGATGCCAAGCTTTACTTTACATTTAAATTGTCTTGTGTTTTTTATGCTCATATGAGTGTTTCAGGAATTAATATCTCTATACTGGTATTAATGTTTAAAGATATGTTTTAATAAGTAATTACTTCATGCTCTGCCTAGAAGTATTTTAAAAAAAATTTGTCTGGAAATATTTAAATTTGATGAAAATGAA